AATAGTTTCAAGATCCCAAATTTATCTTTCTATAAATTCTCCGGTGACTAATATTATTTTAAGACATTGTCAAAATATTATTAGAACCGTCGAAAATATTGAATACTTTTACAGCTTATTGCAAAAGGGGATCTCTTCAGTTATAACAATATTTGCTGGTTAAACGTTTTCAATAAGGTTTATTCTTGTTTCGTGAGTCTTACATGTAATTTTTTGAACGTACCTGAATATAGATTATGGCGACTAAAACGACGGCAACTATCATCTTCATGTTGAATGTTGTTGAACCAACTGCAGAGAATAATTAATGAGAAGGTACTTTTCTATAAAGCAGATACAACGTTATTTGCAATCTTGCGCCATATACAGTTTATTGACATGTCAGTTTTGATACAATCTCTCAGCAGATAAATATCAATACTCAAATATACGTACAATAACATCTATTATTTGTAACTAGTAGAATTATAGTACCGCATCATGATTGCTTCAAAAAATGAAAAGTTTCTTCTAAAGGATACGAGTACTATAATGCCAGCTATGAGAATTTGTTACAGCTGTTTCTCTGTTTATTTTTTGAATGCAGGAATACTCCTTTAGTTCAATTCTGGAAGTTTCCTGAAAGGTATTTAGAAACTGTTGCGTTTCAAAAGACGAACAAAACTGTTAGTTTAAAAAGATGAACGTTAGAGTTCCTCATTTTTTCGCACATGAATGTTGTTTAATATTTGGGAATGTCAAAACAGTTATCAAAATATCTTTTTAAGAAATTCAACCACATCGAGGAATAAAACGTAACAAACACGTATTAAATATTGGGAATATTACTTCTAAGAATAATTTTGCTAGTGCATGTCTAATTTTAGTTATTCAACATTTTCATCAACTGGAAGCAAGTATCGTATATTTCCATTTTGCTTATAAACCGACTACATAGTACAGACTCCAGAATGAACAATGTTTATTACTAGTTATAAGTTAACGTGCGATATAAACAGAAATTTCTTATCAATTATCTGATTGAACTTGTTGCAGTTTTAAGCAAACTGATATGGAATAAGAATAGGTCAAAGACATATGAGTATAATATAAAATAAGATTTCAACATAATTAGCATAAGAAATATGTCAAGTTTCTCTACAGGGGCAACAGAAAGTTCAATGAACACATTGAATTGGGGCTTATTGACATTGACTTGGGACTTCCATGTGGTTCAATTTGGGCCAAAATAAATTGATTTTCGCTGAGCTGCAGCTCTCGCCATTGACAGTGGTGGCTTAGATGACATTGTCTTCGAAAAAGTATGGACCAACAATGACACCGGCCCAAGAATCTTACCAAACAGTAAATATTTATGGATGTATAAGATTGTTTCTGCTGATTTAAATGTTTATGTAGGTGTTAAATGCACATCATTCTATTCTCGAAATTTTAATTCTGATTCAGTGAGAGATTTTAAACTAGCTCTTGGAAGTGAGGGGTGTTCATATATGTATGGTACAAGAGACATAGATGCTGCATTTTCATACTTCGTGGGCATTTTCAATTTTTATTTCGAGAATTACTATCCGATTTTGGAGCGAGACAAGAAAACTAATGACACGGAGTGGTTTAGTGACATCATTAGACAATAAAGTAACCCCCTCAAGCTGCTCTTCCAAATAACAGAAATCAATGTGGAATTTATGTTAAAGAACTGTATTTAAATGCAAAAAGAGAGCATCAAAAATTAATAAAGTGGGCAAGAACTAAATTTTTTCCAACAGAAGATGAATAAATCTAACATTCTATTTTCGTGTGATTGGAATATCATTAAAAATTTTTCAGTAAAGGTGGGTGATATGGATACCTTTTCTGACTGCACGGACAATATAGCCATTCATTCAAAAGATTTTTCAAAAACGCTGCAAGAGATGTAACTTCCAAAATCCAGAAAACCAATATCATATCCAGTCATATCAAGGAAAATATATTTCATTTAGTTCCTTTTTATATAGAGGAAGAATTTTACAAGCTTATCATTGAGATACCTAAAAATAAAAAATCTCCTGGTCCTGATAAGGTGCCCACTTTTTGATACTCGAAGTTCTGCCTGAGATTCTTTACTCTATGACTTTTTTAATTAATTTAACTTTTTGTAGTGTAAAGTTTACCGATATATTGATAATTAGAAAGATTTTAACTTTATATAAAAAAGATGACGTGCATTTAGTGGAGAATTATATACCTCTTACTTTGTGCTCCTCTTTTTCTAAATTACTGGAATATGAATTTTTTGATCGACAACTGAAGTTTGTTGAGGAAAACAAGCTAATCAACGAGCAACAGCATGTTATTCACGGTAGTAAATCCACAAGCTCTGCTATCCATATTTTTATTTCGTTGATGCAGAGGACTGTGTCGAACATGATATTCTTCTGAAAAGGCTAGCGTGTTATGGCATGAAAAAACAACCTTTAGAATGATTGAGGACCTTCCTCACAAACAGAAAGCAGTATGTAGCTATCACCGATTCAAACCATAGTGGTACTAGGGTTGAAGTTAATTCTGGGACTGAAGAATGTTTCATGGATGTCCCACAGGGGACGATTTTAGCCCTGTTTTATTTTTGCTTTATGTAAACGAATTATCTAATTTTGTACTGAAGCATTGATAACTTTGTTCGCAGATGATACCTCAATTGTAGCTTCTGGTTCTTCTGAGAAACAAAGGACAATATAGATGTTACACTAACCAGGCTGCATAACTGATTTTCACATAATAATTTATATTTAAATCTAAACAAAACACTAAGTATTAGATTTCACACAAGGAAAAAAGATTCAACGAACTAAGTTTCGAATTGAATAATAGTTATATCAATAATGTGAAATGAAATACCACCTTGTCCAAAAAGTTCCCGAAATGGTCGCCGTGTGGCGCTCGTAGCACTCGGCTGTCAATCCTGTTTGTGTTATTATGGTGCCCAACTTTTACTGATATTACCTCCGAATTTTGACGTCATTTTATTATCGGTTGTCACAGCTACGTCGAGTTGAATACATGTGCCTTAGAGCTGTTCACGATTTATTAGGACTTTTACAATGGATCTGAATGAACAACAACGCGTTTGCATTATATTTGTGTAAAAAACAATATCAACGGTACGCAAACTTTGGAAATGCTAGGAAAATGCTTCGGCAACGAAACAGCCATTTTCGACGGGTCACAGAAGATCGTTAATCCACCGCCGATGATGAGCGCAGCGGCAGGCCATCGACATCGAAAACAGAAGAAAACGTTGACAAAGTGAAGAAAATGTTGACCACCAACCGCCAACTATCAGAGAGATGGCAGATAACTTGAGCATTGCTTATGAATCTATTCAAATCACTTTGGTCAACGATTTGGGTTGCAGCCAAGTTGGTGCCAAAAGACTTGAATTTCATGCCTCAAAATGATCGTGTTGATATCGCAAAAGACATGATTTTCATGGCTGATTCTGGTCCAACATTTATCAAACGCATCATTACTGGAGACAAGACGTGGGTTTATGACTACGACACACAGTCAAGACATCAGGAGAGTGAATGGCGAGTTGTGATTTTTTAAATGGAATGCTTCAAATTTTATTGCATATTTGGATAAACCGATTCAAAAGCAAGAAGATTGATATGACATACTATGGGAATTTGCTAATTAGCTACTGAGATGTAAGGTGTTCTGTCCAGAAAAACCGTCCACTTCGGCAACCCCTCAATCCACCATTTTGAAATTTGGAGTGCTGAATTTTTATCAAAGAAAACTCCTCAGCTTTTATCTTATTTGTTACTCTTTCGAATTTTCATTTTTGTTCATACAGGGTGGTCAAAAACGCGAATTGTACTTTTTCTCCAAAATGTCAAATGCATCAACCTGCATATTTGTGCAAGTTTGGATTCGATTTTTAAAAGCTTTTTTTTGTAGCCGGTTTGACTCAGATAAAATCACTAGATTTTGTGTTATTAAACTTTTAATAGAACAACACACCAAAATTAAGGAAAAAAATCACATCATACATGGAAACAAAAGACAAACAGTGGGCTAGTTCCATATTGCCACTAAGAGTACAGATTTGACGTAAAAACTAATAACAATTGGAACACTATAAATCAGCTTCAAGCGTAATAGAGAAAAACAACTATAACAACGACATAAACAAACAACTATCACTACTCAAGTCCTAATCTACAAAAACTGCTCCAAAATATCTCCACCATGTTAAATACAAAGCCGAAGTCTTTGGATAAATGACCGTTGCACATCCCTCAGCATGTGTCCCTTTATGTTCAGAAAAGCAACCTCAATCCTTTCCTTCATATTTTTCGGGGTAGATGGTGGATATCTATAAACCTTAACGTAGCCCCATAGAAAGAAGTCCATCGGTGTTATATCTGGTGAACTAGGAGGCCAAGATATAGGCCCATCATGACCATGATCCAACGATTGCTACTCCAGGTGTAGAAATAGTTAGGCACACGATTATGATAATGTGCAGGTGCGCCGTCATGTTGGAAGTACATATGCATCCGAGTTTGCAGGTTGACATCCTCCAAAAGCAAAGGCAAATGCTCAATCAAAAAATTCAAGTATTCTGTACCTGTTAATCTGTTGTCGAAAAAGAAAGGCTTGATAGCTTGTCTGACAATAACTCCTCCCCAAACATTCAAGCTCCATTTATTTTGGAAATCTATTTGCCTAACCCAGTAAGGGTTTTCCGTCGCATAATAGTGCATGTTATGCCTGTTGACAACACCCCTATGCTGTTAAAAGTTGCCTCATCGCTAATAAGAACCTTATCCAGGAAAGTAGTGCCTTTACTCACTTTATTTAGCATTATTCTACTAAACTCCATTTGAGCTGCGGGAAGCCGGGGCACGAAGGCCTTGATGCAAGCATAGGTGATATGGATGGTACCTATGCTTGTGAATATTCCTTTGGACAGAAGTTCTGCATATAGCAGTTTCAGCTCCAACTTGCCGTGCACTTAAATGGGGATTTTCCTGCAACTTTAATAGAACCTCCAACTGATTCGCCTCAATGGTGACACTTGGATTATTTATACATTTTTTACTATATTCCACTGCTCCACTTGATTCAAAACGTGCTCGTAGAGTGGAAAATGTTTCCGGCCTTGGATGTCGCATATTAGGGTACCGTTGCGTATAAATGCGAGATGCTAGGAGACTATTTCTTTGGGCTTCGCCCAAAACGAGCACTATGTATGTATATATGTAGGGGGGGGGGTTGGCTTTGGATAAAATTCCATTAGCCACAGATTTTCTAAAAAACGAACACCATATTCACCATTTCTTCTTTAAAGAAATTCATTCATCAATTCTTTCGAGATGATGGGAATCCTTGAATTCCCTCTGTCTTCCAGATGACACTTCTGAAAGATACTAAAATAATGAGTGCGTTTGTACACCTATATCACTTGGTAATGTAAAACCGTACACAGTAATGGTATGTAGATTGAGAGATGTAATTTTACGCTGGAATACTGTGAAACTTATTTTTAGAACGCCTAAATTATTACTGAAACTTGTAATGTCACTTGATCACAGCCTACTAATTTCTAACCATGCTTTCTGTGACAAGTTTTTATTATAAGAACGCTATGGATACGACATAGCCCATTTATCGTGAAAAAAATATATATATATATGTATTCTGCTTATTTTGAGCACTTTTTAATAACCAAATAAAGCAAACAATAAACCATAAGAATGGCAAGTGGCAATATTCTTATTCCCAAGGTACGTCAAACAATTACGAACGCTAAAGATGTTACAGGGTAGTACAAAGTTCACTCTGTAACAATTCACAAACCCAGCGCTCTGCTAAGGAATCTGAAAATAAAAAACAAAGTGTCACCTGGAAGACAAATAAAATTGTATTCGATAAATGTCAATTGAACGTCATTGTTGGGACCGAAATGTTGCGTTCATCAAAGAATTTTAAAAATATGTATGTGGTTACGATTGGCCAGACGAACATGTGGGATTATTAACATGAAAACCTAAGAATAAGTTTCAGATGTTATTGTCAGTTTTTGTGCAATTGATTTGTAATAAAGCGGTAATGTGTTGTATATTTGAATAACCTACATGTAAATATTTCGTATGAGATTAGGCGCAAGGTGAGTCCAATGCAGTATTGACATTAGGCAGTATAAATAAGGAGAATTTTCCAACATTGGCATACAACTATTCAGTGAGTCTTCGAGTCAAAGCAGCAACAATTAGCAAACACGACCCTTCACCATGAAATTCTTCAGCGTCTTCTTGGCTATCTTCCTCATCTTCACTTTCATGCAGGTAAGTAAAAATGATATTTGAAAATTAATTTTGAGTTTATTTTACAAAATGTTCTATAGGTCTAGATTCAGAATGATATAAAAATTCGATCAATTTGAGTTACCATATATTTCACATTTTTAAGAAAAAATCCTAGAACTTTAAAATTATAAAAAATTCAATATCATAATACTTATCGCTATATTCAAGCTTCTATCAAAAACGTTTCCTTTGTGTCCTAATGTATCACAGAACTATAGAAAAGAAATTTATTGGAGAGTTAAGTTTTGAAAGCATGTGAAACCTATAGGATCACTCGACCGGAAACAGTAACAAACGTGGTATTTTTACGTACAAGAAATTGCATTTTTAATTGCAAAAACTGGATTGTTTACGTTGATTCTTCACGTATGATGCAGTTTATCCGATTAATTGCTAGTGTTGTTGAAAAAACGCGTATTTGAAATTCGTACGTTCAAATATACATCAGTTCTCAAAATTTCCCGCAAAAGGAATTAGCCAGTAGCATTACATTTTATTTAGGATACAACTAGAAGGTGATCAATTATTATAATCTGTCGATGTCGGATAATAAAGGTTACTTAGGAACATCTATGGCAGATCCGGGGTCTCAATCTAAAAATGAGACATAGAAAGACTCATCACGTCAAGCTAGAACTTATTAAGTTACAGCTTACAGCTCTTTATGTTTGAACTTTGGAAAGCAAGTTTTCCACTTCAAATTTATAGAAATAAATCAAGGCAGAACATTACGCTCACGCTTAACACTTAGTCTTACATAGCTTCGTGAGCTAATCTTGTAGAATAGTCTCCTTAACCTAACGCAGAAAACTTTACTGACGTTTCAAACTGCCATATGAACAGTTTTTGTTAGTTAAGGAGGTTCACGTGCATTTGCTGCTAATGAGACATTTATTTTCGAAAATTTTGTTTGCGATTTAGAATGGTCCCTTCCAAAACCAAATAATATGCAATTTTTCTATTATTCTACCATATTTTTTCAGGCCACATCCTGTGGACTTGTTGACGCTACCGTAAAACTTTTGAATGGCAAAGAATCCGGTAATGACGGCAAGGGAACTTCCAAGGGATGCGATTCGGGATCCAAGGGCAAAAGTCTGATTAACGCAGACGTAGAAGCCTTAAACAACTTATGATTGGTCACTGATTGTATCTTTTTTTGTCTGACGACACTTATGATGTAAAAAATATATTTGTCTATGCTTAACCCATGATTGTTTCAATGAGCACTATGTAGAACACACCGGCAAGCTGTCATTGATTAAGATATAAAAATAGCCAACCATATTAAGGTGTCAAAAAATGGCGTCAACTGCACTTGCCAAGCAAGGCCGTCATAGGTTCATAAACGGTTGTGTTCAGTACAAGTTAGACCTCCTAGAAAAAAATTAGTTACGAACATACATACATATGTTAAAGAGAAATTGAAAAGATCAAGTCACTCAAACTGACCCACAAAATTTGTCCACAAATTATTTTCCTGTCCTAACGGTAGTCCACCTGGTAACATCTCCTTTCCCAGATAGCTCACGGCATAACGCATCAGACCAGGCAGAAAAGCTAGAACACTTACGATGACTGGCACGCTCACCGGTGATCTCAGACAGAAGCAGTCACGCGTATCTAAAGCATTTCTCTGTCATTCTGTTTTAAGCGAAAATGTAGGGGGAATCTATGCTGGATGAAATATGTCTAATAGGTGCAAGAAACTACTGAGGTTGGGACTACAGCTCCCCACCCCTCAATTTTTCAAAAATGATCAAGATCCTCTGAAACGTCCCAGTTTGAGCGATTTTTATTTTCTTTGCGTTTGGATGTTTTCTCCGCCACTGGACCGATTTTAAAAAATTAGCTTTTGCTTTTTCGTCCTTAGCATGGTAGCAACCTTGTGTAAAAATCAAATTCCGGTCAGTACTTTCCATTACTTTCCATGTTAAAGTTGGGCCAATGATTAGCGGACAGTCAGACTGACTTACCGAGAGACCGACAGACACACAGACAGACTAACGGAAATGAGTGATATGATTTTTTGTGGTGTACATGTCATATATGTATAACATAACTCATTTTCTTAATTTTTCGCGATTACAATACTACAATACTTCCTCCGGGAGGTAACGGTGATCTGAAATACGCTAACGCCATCTATAAGATAGCAGCAGACACTGGCGTATACAGAAAACAGTTCTAGGGGGGGTGAAGGCGGATGCAGCCTTTAAGTGAGGGGTCTGTCTCACTGTACTATTATGTATAAGGAATGAATAAAATAAAAAAATACATTTTTAAAAACAAGCTTTTATTTAGCTGTTCATAAAATGATCTAAACATTTAAACATATTTTTTTCCGACTGGAAACATTTAGGCGATAATTAAGCTCCGTCTGAAGTTTTTAAATAAAAGCGTGTTATACTCTTTTTCAACGCTATAGTCAAAACAACACGCTTTTATTTGAAAAGCTGAGATGAAGGAGCTTTAGTATCGTTTAAATAAAAGCTTGCTTTTAAAAATGTATCTTACTTATTTTTTACTTTATAGTATTCATGATGTGAATTAACTAGTTTAGTAATCCCTATATAATTTTCATACATTTTACTAATAGGACTTCATGAAAATTCTTACTTGATTTGTATTATAAAATTTAGACCTACAGGGTAATGATAAATCGATATTTTTCGGCGATCACCATATCGAATTTAGAATGACGTTATTTACTTATTGTGTTTATATCGTTAAGCCCTTTCATTTAGTACCCATATGATAGCGGTCACCATGAAAATTATAAATCGCCACTTAGTGGCTGCCATCATATTGAATTAATAATGACGTCTCTTTGTTTATTATGTTTCCCTCATCAAGACCTTTCATTTGATACCCGGAGTATACAGGTAACTATGGAAATTTTGCGATGGCCGCCATATTGGATTTAAAATGACGTCACGTTGGTTATGTTTCTCTCATAGAGCCCTTTAATTTGAATCCTATATCATAAGAATGGCTATGATAATCATAAACGCGATTTTGTGGCGGTCGCTATATTGGATATAGGATGACGTCACTTTGCTTATTAAAATTTTCTCATAGAGCCCTAAGGGTGACTATTAAAAATGTAAATCGCCGTTTTACGGCGGCCGCCATATTGAATTTAGATTGACGTCACTTTGCTTAATGTGCTTTTTCTCATCAAGCCGTTTCATTTGATATCCATATCATGGGGCTTAGCATTGTAGCCTCCGCCATATTGGATGTAAAATGGCGGCAATTAATTCAATTTGTATTACTACGCAAACCAAACGTGTGCACAAAATTTCAGCTCAATTGGTTGAGGTTAACTAGTTGAAAATTCAGTTTCAAGTTTTGTCCCACACTAATAAACAGGTCAAATTGAACAAAAGCTTGCAAAAACGTATTTTTCTGTAGGCTTCAACCTCAAGGCTCTCCTGAGCCAGTGGTTGCACAACTCAAAAATGAATTTAGCATTCTACTTTGAAATGAATTAAGAGCATTAATTTGGTTCTGCTGTTGCCACAAAGATGGCGCTAGTATATTTCAGATCAGTCTTTGGACGCCGGAATACAGTATTTGTTTGGCTACATTAATTAATGAGCCTGTACACATTTTACTACTTGTGACACTGTTCAGATATTCAGCAATAGTAACTATACCTATTCTCACCAAGGAATATCGATGAAATTCAGCATAAACCTAGTTATAGTTAATGTACACCAGTGGCGGAGATACAGGGGATTGTCTTATCAATTTTCTTATTTTAAAAAGGCATTTAAAGTATGAAGCAAAAAATTACGATAGGTAAAAATCAAATACATTTTAAAAATGCATTCTAATATATTCAATAGGCAACGCAACACGGTTGGGCCGCCCTCTATAACTACCGCAAGTTACAAGTCGGAAACATCCACCTACGGGGTATTCGGGCCCTTCTTGTCGTAAGTGCTAAAAAGCTTTTGAGTATTTCTGTGTCCCAATATGACTGCCCTTCTTAAAGAATTACGTTTTCTAAAGATCGTACCTGTTTCCTAGCCAACTGAAACCAAGTCTTCAATATGATCGGCAATCGCTTCCGATGATAATTCTTAGTAGTCTTGACACTGATGAAAACGTCATCCAATGTCGTAGTCGGTGGTTTGACAGTCGCAGTGGCGGTAGATATTTCACTGGTGAACCCCTCGGGGATGATCTCGTTTTCGTGGGGTGATCGGTCTTCGGCCAGGTTACGATCGAAGCGATAGCTCTCTATGGGGATGTCTATTATTGGCATCGACTGCAAAAAAAAAGATTTCAAAAAATGGAATAAGCTATCACCGTCAATCGATATTCAGGGTTATCCAAATTAAGTGTCCACCATTAGTAACTTTGTTATTAGTGAAAATACAAAGTTGTTTGAATTAGCAAACTAGTAGCATTTTTAACGCTGGTAAAAATGAGAAATAAAAAAAAACAATTGAGAGTCGTTATTTTGATTTTTTTCAGTAAAATAACATTTTTTTAAATGGAAACCCCTGTATATTATATTTTTTTCTGTTAAAGCATCAAATTTTAAACAAAAAAGTTCATAATGACTTTTCCGCTAAAGTCAAAAATAAAGTCAAAATAACGATAAATATTTTTAATTATTTGCAGTATTATAATATTAAGACGGCTATGAAAACAACATGGCGTTCGCGATTTGACAGCATTAAGATAAGCGACAAATTGTTAAACTGGACATACTCGCAACTAGAAGGCTTTGGAAAACAATGATAAAATCAAATAATGTCAAACATTAGTGTAAATACTTGTTTATAAGCTTTATTGTGTCATTAATTTAAAGAAAAATGTTCTCCCATGAAGAAAAGTGTGATATGTTAGAATGCTATTTAGTGTGCAGAAAATCCTCCTTGAGAGCAAGAGAATACTACAGTGAATTATATCCCGCTCGCATTCAACCGTATGAACGATATTTTCTGAGACTTTATCGAAAATTTAGGGGCAACGAAAATGTTTTTGCTAAAACAAGGGCAAAAAAAGAATTCATAATAAGCGAGGCCACGGAAATTGCAGTTATTGGATATTTTGAAGCTTATCATGAGAATTCAATAGCAGATATTCTCAAGGACTCTAATTTCAGTTATGGTACTGTTCAAAGGATTTTAAAAAAATACAAATTTATTCCGTATAAGTACCGACCAGTTCAAACGCTTTTGGCAGGGGATCCAGAGAGAAGACTTGTTTTTTGCCATTGGTATCTTAGCTTCTGTCGCCAAAATGTAAATAACTTTCGTTACCTTTTATGGACAGATGAATCAAATTTTTCAAATTCTGGAATGTTTAATAGAAAAAACCACCATTATTGGTCAAGAGAAAATCTTTTGTTAGTACATCCAAGAGGCCCACAAGTCCGTTTCAGTTTCAACGTTTGGTGCGGTATAATTGGTTCAAAAATTGTTGGCCCGTTCTTTTATGAGGGAACCCTAACTGGTAAAAGATATGTGGAATTTATGTCAGAAATTCTGACTAATTTCTTAGACGAATTGGATCTTATAAGTAGACATCATCTGCATTTTCAGCAAGATGGCGCACCTGCCCACAACTCCAGAGGTACTTATCATTTTCTAAGTACTACTTTTAATGATCAGTGGATAGGAACAAATGGCCCAATACAGTGGCCTCCCAGATCACCAGATCTAAACCCACTTGATTACTTCTTGTGGGGTTACTTAAAGAACCAAATTTACAAGCGAAGGTACGATAACCTTGACGCGTTAAAGACTGCAGTTAGGGAAAAGATAACCCAGATAGATGGTAGGACCATACTTAAGACAGTTCGAGCAGTTGAAAAACGTGCCCAAAAATGTATTGAAGAACAAGGTGGTGTTTTCGAGCATCTTCTTTAAAAAAAATTGTTATTGTATTTTGTAAGATTATAAGTTGATGTTGAAAATAAAGTTTGTCGATACAATTTAATTGTTTCAGATTGGAGGCCATAACTTCAACAATTTGTAACCTAGGAGAAAAGTTATTGTAAGCTTTTTTGTTTAAAATTTGATGCTTTAACAGAAAAAAATATAATATACAGGGGTTTCCATTTAAAAAAATGTTATTTTACTGAAAAAAATCAAAATAACGACTCTCAATTGTTTTTTTTTATTTCTCATTTTTACCAGCGTTAAAAATGCTACTAGTTTGCTAATTCAAACAACTTTGTATTTTCACTAATAACAAAGTTACTAATGGTGGACACTTAATTTGGATAACCCTGTATAGCCCTCGGACTTCAACAGTTTCATTTTTTGCGGCAAGAAATAAAAGTGAATTAACAATGAGCCCTTTGAATTCGAGTAGAGTCTTCATAATGACTGAAGACTGACTACCGTATCGAAGAGGATTTTTATCAGTCACTATAGAGAGACTACAACCTCAAAAAAATGTAAGATGCTTCGGAAATTATTAAGCTCCTAGCTTGTGCTCAATTTTCTTGTAGCATGAACAAGAACACTTTTTTATTAAGAGTTGTCATTAACATGAAAAGAAATCTGTCATTTGGGAGCTATGCTTCCAACTTGAACTTATAATCTTTTTGGTAAAGTATTAGAAATGGATTGTCAATATAACATAATATGTTACATCAGTGCTTTCCCGAAAAGTCGCCCTCTAGTTATTTTTTAACAGTTCAAATTTGGCAGCTAAAATTCAAAATGATAATAACTGATGGATGCTATGTTTTACAGCAGAATTGATAGTAAAAAAATTCACGATGGCGGCTTGGAACGTTTTTAAATGGAATGAGAGGTCACGTGATACCTCATTTGGAAGCTTCTCTAGAATACTTTATAACCCTAAAATATAAAATTACTATACCCTATTTCACGAGTATCCATCACGGTAGAATGACAGCTGATTATCTAGTAATATTTCAAAATTCCCCATATCGGCAAAAAAACACGTAATTCTGACGGATCTGTCAATGCCAGAGGCAGGCAGAGCTATATTTCGTTTTTGTTTTTTGTAATCTACAGATTCATTTTGTACTTGCTAATAGCTGTTTTATTTAGAAAACTTTTAAAACCAGTTTTACTGGATTTACACCCGATTCATTATTGCCAACGTCGCAGACTAACACAAAAATGTCACTTGCTGATCAGGTGTTCACCTCAGTAGACGTCAAAGCGTGATGGATACTCGCGAAATAAGGTTTATCTTTTAAACTGGCAGTCTGGTAGACTGTCACAGTTGAGCGTTTTTGAACATTGATTCGCTGATAATTCAACAACCAATCATCAAAACGCCATAATATACTAAGTGACATATAAATCCGAACACCCAGTTTAAATGGTTTTATTTTAATAAAATTTTGTATAATAAGTACTTAATGAAGCATAATAAGTAAATAATAAAAATTTCAAAATGATTGCACTGCTTTAAAGCCCTTTGACCTTTAATAATGTGTGGATGCACCCTGATGTGCTACGCATTCTCCAACGCGCCTAAGCATGCTTCTGATCAGGTGGTCAATGTCCTCCTGTGGTATCTCATTCCAGGCAACCACCAACTCCTCTCGAAGTGCTTCTAGAGTCTGAGGAGGACGTTGCAAATTGAGCAATCTCCTACCCATCATATCCCACACGTGCTCAGATCTTGGTGGCCATGGTAACAAAGTGACATCTTTATGTTGAAAGAAGTCTATTGTGACTCTTGCAACATGTGGTCGGGCATTATCTTGTTGGAAAGTTGGATCTGCTACGGTGTCAAGATAGGGTAAAAGATGGGGTTCTAGAACTTCGTGGATATAACGCTGCGCGTTCATGTTACCTCTGATGAAGATTAAAGGTGACCTGGAACCATAAGCTATAGCACCCCAAACCATAACTCCAACAGTGTGATGAACATGTCTTTCAACAAAAAACTGTGGATTCCTCCTTTCACCACGTCGTCTTCTAACCCTGGCACGACCATCGTGCATGCCTAAACAAAATCGAGACTCGTCACTAAAGACAATACTGTTCCATTCCTGATCCCAGAGTGACCGTTGTCTGCACCACTCAAGGCGATTACGTCGGTGTTCTCGAGTTAAAGGGAGGACCCGGTGTGGCCGGTATGAAAACAAGCCAAAACTTCTCATTCGTCGATAAACACTTCGCATGCCAATAGGTCTTCCGTGTTCTGCAAACCATTCATTTGCAATGGACCTGGTAGTGGAGAAACGGTCCCTTAAGGCCAATAATCTTAGGCGGCGATCTTCACGGTCTGTTGTTCTACGGCGGCGTCCAGTGCCCCCTTGCTCTTTGCACTCGACTGCAATTGCCCGAAAAGAAAGTCCAGCTTCCCGAAGTCCCACTATACGGCCCCTATCAAATTCACTAAGTTGACGAAATCGTACAGGTCTCCGTACTTTAGGCATCGTAACCGATCGTAAAGGATGTCAAGAACCAAAATTCGCCAACGTTGATTCTTTACTGCGGCTGATATATTCATTTTTAGAGCGTTAGTGAATTAAAAAAAAGCAGCATAAAAACCGGAATGTCCAGCTGATAAGGCTGAAAATTGTTTCACTTGTTATTTACAGTAAGATAAATACATTCACCAACTTTTATTAAAATAAAACCATTTAAACTGGGTATTCGGATTTATATGTCACTTAGTATATATTAAATCAATCTTCTTCTCTTGGAAAGGTCTATGCTGCATATATGTAATAAAATATGGAACATCTCATCAAAAAAACAGTCGAAAGGTATCATTTTTTTTAAACCCTTATTTTAATGCTCATTCAGAGAGCCTTCTAAAAGAAGAAGATAGATATAACATTCTATAACATTTTGATGATTAATTTTTGAGTTATACGCAAATTTGACGGCCTACCAGTCCGACATTTTGAAAGTTAGTATTTTATATATAAAACAAGATATCCTAGAATTGTAGGACGCCTTTATGGCCTCCTTGACTTTCATAGTAGTTTCTCTCCTTGAGAGAGGCTGGGGTATTTCTAGATTTCTACTGTTCTGTGTTAGCGTCAGCTCTCTCCTATTGTGAAGCTATGTTTTCTTTTTCAATTGTAGGAAATTTGAGCCAGATATAGCAGACGATATAAATCAAAAGTATGAACAATTTGATGCAAATAGATATTTGTAACATAACCTCAAAATGGAGATAAAGGCGACCTATTTATAATTGTAGGAACCTGACCCTTCAAAAAATCAGTGGGGGAGGTTTTTTCTGAAAAGCACTGTATATTTATATCTTCTCGTGTAATCGATCGAAATTAAAATCCGGTAAAACTCGTGTCAGTTGCAGAAGCTTCCGATGTGGCCATTTTAAAAGAATTCGTTTGGGCCAACTCGGTGCCTAAAGGCTTGCGTGCTACTCTTCTTCTTTATTTGGCCGGTGCTTTTCGTCTTTTTTACAGTAGTTGATGGTTGAAACGTTTAATTCAGAAGTGTGTATCCTGAGCACAAAGCCTTTAAAGGGTGAACAGTAGTAACCAGGGGCGTATCTATCTAGGGTAGGCAAAACAGAACTAAAATGATGCACCAAATTATATCTCTTGGTAATGAAATTATAAGTATTTTAATGTATATAAAACATCTAAACAACCTCGAACATGATTTTCTCATAGTCAGTTCCAACAACACTGTCGGATACATCAATCATCAAATCAAATGTATGGTCATCATGTCCTCTATAACGAACATATGATGAACTGATCTGATCCACTGTACGAGTACATAAATCACCGTTAGGGAGAGTCAGGCTATAATTGCTGGAAAGAACCTTAAGTTTCTAAGGATGTCGACAAAGGCGCCCGTAAGGGTTTGCCAGGGAGAGGCCGTAGTTCCCCCTAAGAATTCGGTTAGCATGATTATGTGCACAATTTTGGGATTTTTAGTCGGCTCCTTCTGAGAAAATTTGCTACCCCAGCTCTTCAAAAGTTTTTGGGGGCAGGTCACATGTCACAAGTCTTGCCGATGATCGCCCCTGCTGCCCTGAGAAAAATTCCTGCGGGCGGCCATGGATTTCGACATTTTTTTCAATCATTTTTAGAGATAAATACTATATTTTTGAATAGATGAAGGTTTTTCAAATCTCCCACACCATGATTTTGTACGTTTTGATACATCTAATTACTGTAAGAGTAAGGTGTGGTCAACAAATTTGAGGCTGAGAGAAACAGTCTTTTTTGGGTAGTTTTAACGATGACGATGCTGGATCCAATATTATCTTTTCACCATTTTAAAAATATTCTTTTAGCAGATTCCTAATCAGTGGTCCGAAAAAAACTTGAATTTTCAGGTGATTTATTCATCTTATGGATATCTTTCAAGTACTAGGATCTGTAGGAGCACTACAGAAACTCTTTTTCTCAAAAACCGTCCATTTTTCAAGGATACCATTTTTTTTTTCGGCAAAAGGATTGGCCTTCCAAAAATATCATTCTTGATATATATTGTAAAAAATAGCGTCAAATAAGCTGACTCTACATTTCAGTTCATACAGCGTATGAAATTTCAAAAAAAGCTTGAGCAATTTTCATTTTTCGGTGTTTGTTTTTTTTACCAACCTTCAAAAAATACAAAGCTTTTGCATCCTTGGCATAGCAGTAACCTTGTGTAATAGTTTCTGACGGAAATAAGGGACAAAGTTTTTTGTGATATACATACAAGTCATAAATAATAGATACCTAAAAAGCATAATATCTTATTTTTCGCGTTTACAACCAGTAGGCCTGGGAAGTAAAAAAGCAATATTACGTAAGGCTCCGATTTGAATGAGTTAATTGTTTTGCATGAACGCTGTCAAAATTTCGTTAATTTACACAGTATTATTCAAAAGATCTGTATTGCTCTGTAATGCACGTTCGAGAAATTATTGTTCTAGAATACCCTGTATAAATTAATATCAAAACCTCGTTTTTACAACTAGATTATCGAGTCACTGGCATAAGAAGTATATTATCGCCAAGGAGAGAGGCATTTTAGGAATATATCTCAATACAAGTTGTATTTGTACGTATACAAAGCTTTACAATGCTTTCATCACCTTTCGATATTCCGTATTTTTCTTCGCCATCAGACAGTTTGGAAGTAAAAACACGTACGGGGCACAGCTGATTAATATGCGGCACAAGCTGGTAATCACACAAAATGCAAATGTTCAATTTCACAGGTGAATAACAATTGAATGTTTGATGCCGATTGTGCCGACCACTTGCGATCGATAAAGGAGAAAAAGGGTAATCGTCCTGCCACGAAAAAGCATTTGCGATGTTTTTGCTAGTACAAAAATAATACGTAGATCTGATAACTAAAAACAAAGTACGTATAGGACGCATGGAGTTCGGTCATAATTAAAGGGCTTGGGGCAATAAAGTACCTAAGAAAGATTTTAATAAAAACAATTTCAATCTTTCTTTCTCATAATGGAAAACGATTATTGCATTTCATTAGAAATTAAGCAAGTATCGTGATTTCAGGATTTACATAACATTTTTAACTTTAAACTTCTCGAAATAAAGTCAGGTACCTTATTACCCTTGTGGGTTCCTAAAAACCAAGTTTGTCCATTTTTGTTCACCTTGCTTAAAAGCGATTATGGGTCCATAATAATGGATGGATATATCTAACCATACGACGCGTCGTATGTGGAAACTATCTTGCTGAATTAATTGAATCCACAGGCCATTCCTTCCTTATTCCATCGAATTGAGGAAGAATAAAAGCTTTGTTCCGGAAAATAATCGAACGAGTTCTAAGCTGACCAGGGCATGCTCAAATCGAAATTACCATTCCAACATAAAACTGAACTAACGCCGTAAATGACAGTTCTCTATTCCAACAATTTCCGAATTCCATAGCTAAGAAGTTGGGTTTTGTGGCTACCATTTTGTGCCTTTTTTAACTTTTCAATCTTGTTCTATATCAAGCCTAAATCTCAGCGGCTTATTGTGCCGGATATTAAACACATTCAAAAATGGGTGACGAAGTTTACTTCGGAACAGATTAAAGTGAGGATGAAGATCTTGAGCAGAATTTAGGAGTGCTAAGAATCAGAATGAAAATTGCTGAATTTTAATGAATCTGTCATGTTATTAGTAATATTAATCTTAGTCTCTACAGACTAGTCGGCTTCACAAAACATATGCAACCACCAATGCGCGTCGTTGAGCCACTCCTCCATAGATGGACGCTTACAACGATCCTAGTGAGCAAACGCGGAATGATTGTTTCCTAAAAACTACCTAGTCTGCAAGATGACATTTCGTCGGTTATTTTTTTACGTTTTTTTAAGGTTTTTTACATAATAGCCATGTGGTACTTTCGGTAGGGTAGAAAAGTTTGTGTATCGCAACATTGTCAAAATGATGTGGACTATGGACTGATTGTATGGGCATATTGAACTGAATTGATCCATTTATTTTTTTATTCTAGGTACATGTTCCTAGCTATAATCTTTTTTCTCGGGGGAACTTCTACCAAACATAGTAGTTTATGAGATGACAGCATTGCATGTGAAGTGTAAAAGTTAACGTACTTGGCGCCATTTTTTTATCTTCATTCACTTTTTCAACTCATTGTCCCCGTTGTTTGGAATCCGTTCCAATGGTTCACCTGTTTGAAGATAACAGCGCGGGATTGCGTTTAGAGGGCTACAGACATAATCATTCGAGAAGCTTCTTATACGGGGATTTATATTTTTGAGACCCTACTGTGATTGACGATAAAGCATAAGCCGATTAATGTAACTCCTAACCTACGTCCAACCTGGGCGGCCGACCAAAATCAAAAATGTGCAAAACATTCACCAATTTTTAATTATGATTTAAACACTGGTTACTGACGACGTTTCGGCTACCACTCTCAATTCAATTCTGATGTTGATAAGCTTCAGTGTTACCTACATTAATTTATACTTATATTTTTTATATTTTGCGCTACATAAAAAGCTACCCACCTGTTGGTTACCCCTCGGCCTTCTACTCTTCCTCCCAACAATTTGGCTCACTAACATTCCAGCGTACACTATCAAACATACCACACAAATAATCTGTAACACCCTCTTGTTCTTCATCGTACTTCTATTTCGATCTCTAATGAGAACGGATTGATCGGAGATCATACACTCATCCATCTCATTTTGAATCGGTTAAAATCGATCAAATTATTAAAAATCTAACCCTACAGTCATAGTCCATCGTTAAAGTCACCACTACCGAGACGAACTTTCGCAGCTATCGATCGAAAAACGAAAACTGTCGCATCGATCGGGCGTAGATTAAAACATTTGAAGATCGCGGGTCGCGTGGTAAGGCAGTTGAAGAGCGAAATGCGTAGCGACCACGCGCTTAACGGGCAAAGCGCGACTGATGGTCGCGAGCGGAACCATGTCGGGTGTTGGGCCATAATCGATGGTTGGTTAGAGGGGAACCCATTGTGGGTGCGGAGTTTTATGATAGGGTGTTGGGTAAATGAGGGCGATAATGAATTTATAGGTTTCAACAATAGGTATTTGTATTATTGAGTGCCTAAACAATCCTTTATCACCATAAAGGTTAGGTTCCATTACAACATGTAGCCTTGTCATTTGCCGGCACATGTGCCAGAAATATCCCAGGTAACCAATCTATTCCATGTGACATCGGCAGGGGTATCATGTAAGAAACAAAAAAAAAACGTAAAAAAACCGACAAAATACCATCTCGCAGACTAGGCAGTTTTTAGTGTGCAAAGGTTCATTGCACGTTTGCTCACTATGATCGCTGTGAGCGCCATCAAAAGCGTCCATCTATGGAGGAATAACTCAATGACACCACATGGATTGTTGGTGGCAGAAAGCCGAGCAGTCTGTACTGTTTATCTCTGAGAAGATGTGAAAGAAAGAAAGTTGGTTGAGTAGCAAGATCACATCTGGATGATTATGTGTATAAAATCAGTGATATTTGCTATGTGAGAAAATTATTATATGAAGTGCAGCATATTTGGAATACTGCAGGTAACTTGGAATACTTGGTAATCTTTTTTTTTTTTGTTGGTTATCTAAATAAATGCAAACGTCATCTGTATTTTTTGCCGTGAATAATAATATACTGTCGTAAATCACACGAAACCACAAGTACTAAAAACAGGACGGCATCAATTCTTTGGACAGTAAATTTAAGACCATGAGTTTACCACGTTTCCGCTACAATGTTAAGTTGAGTTATTTGAACGATTAACTTTTCCCTCAATATTTCATAGATCTTTTTAGAGTAGCAGTATGTGCACACAAAATATCTCATTTTCCACTTCTCATATAGGTTATAAATGAATTGTTATATATATTTTGCATTTTTTTTTTTTGTTAACTGTTAACAACATAATATTTAACTTTAGTGGATAAGTGTTAGAGTAGCATATTGCTAAACTTCGCCTCTATAGTTGCACTTTATACAATATATATATATATATATATATATATGTATATGTATGTGTATATATGTATATATGTATGTATATATGTGTGCATACCTACACATGTATTGTATATATTACTGAATAGAGACGTTTATTATTATTATTATTATCTTGACATTTCCCGCTACCAGCCACACGGGAACGAAACGTCTACTTTGAAAACTTTTTCGGTAAGAATGCAAATCACTTACTACGATATGTAAAATCTACATTGCAATTATTTGAACTGTTATCTGTTCTTGATAGTTTACAATTTATTTTTGATTTTTGGAATATATTTAGAATCAAAAATGTGACATGGAATTTTAAGTTAGGATGTCATTGTTGATAATTTGGAATAGGTACAGTGCTTAATGTGCAATTGTGGGTTCACGCTGCTTGTAGTGCTTATGAATCCGGTGTGTATATCTGTGATTGTTGAAAGAACAGTAACTGAGACTACTAAACTATAAGTTCAGGTTAAATACGGATTTATGATTATTTATACTGATTACTCAATAACTAATAATTATAAGCTATTTTGTTAAACAGATTAATTACCAAAGTCTGTAAAACGGTTACAAAGTTGAGATGTTTATTAGTTTCTTAGAGAAAATGTAAACAATAGTTAAAAGAGGTGATTATAATGTATATTCCGAATTACCTGCACCCCAAGTAAATTTACGCTTTTGGAGTTTTTTACTTTGATAATTATTTTGATGGGGTTCCTGGTTTTTGTTGTGTTTGATTGCTTAAGTCATAAAAATTTAATTATTTCCCAATAATTTAATGCATTTTTTTATTTTACTATACCGTTTATCTTGCAAATTTTTTCCAAAAAACAAACCAGTATTACAAATATGCTGCAGTTCCTCTACTGAATATGTTGCCAATGAAATATATCTATTAGCTGTGCCCGACGGGTTACGTTGTCCTTTCTACAGAGAGGTCTCTTTTTTACGTTTCATAGATATTCCTATCTGTAGTATATTTTCTCACCTGTTACTTGTAATATACTTCACCAACCAGGGATTTTCTTTTCTCTCTCATTTTTGAAATTCAGCAAATTTGCATATGTAATTTCCAGAATGAATAAGAAAACGTGGATGCGCAACTAATCTTTAGCTTTATATACACCTCAAGTAAGTGTATTTTATTTAAGAAAACAAACGGAATTATTATCAACACATATTATTAGCACACAAATCCTAACTATGCACCTATGCACTGTCGTTTCCTTCCAGCTACCGTATACAACCACAGATATTACCGGGGTACAATTTTATATTTAAATCAAATTACTTCTCGCTCACAGTGAGTCTCTGACAATTCGCATTACAAGTAATTTAAAAAATAAATTAAACTACGTCATCATCAGATGTCTCTCAAAGCATGGCATAAGTCCTTGTATATGGCTTACACCCCCATGTATACAACTTACAGCTTAGACCTCCAATAATGCCATCTCTGAAGCACACAGACTCATGATAGCCAAACATTGATAGCTTAAACATCATGACGTTTAGGCAACACGTACAGCTACAAAGCGAGTTCACAACAGGTGTACAATACCTAGTGCTAAGTTGGCATCTGTAGAAAAACCTAAAATTATGTCACAAAAAACCCATAAAATGTCAAAAAAACGACAAAATGTCACTTTTCAAGATACGGAATACCTGTGCCGGTGATATCACAAATAAGCATGATAGAAGGAACGGTGCGACTCTATGTAGTAGTTGCATAGATGTTCTATGGTATAACTGTGATGAGTTGACGTTTTGTGACAATGATACTATAAATCAAGAGATAATTTATCACAAACTGATTACAAATTATGATATTATATAAAAACAGGGGTAATGATGTATGAATATAGTATTGGTGACAGGAAACTTGACAGACCTAATACAATTATTGACTTGGGAGTCACATTTGACAGAAAACTTTCCTTCTCCTATCACATTGAAAATGCTGTTGTGGCTGCATCAAAGGCGTATGGTTTTATTGTAAGAAATACCTGTGATTTCCACAACTCCTTTACACTGAAAATACTGTACTATGCTTATGTAATATCTAAGCTTGAGTATGCGTCCCTGGTATGGTATCCTCATCATCAAATATATATTGACCGCTTAGAGTCCGTTCAAAGAAAGTTTTTAAAATACCTCTCATACAAAGCTGACGGGATATATCCCGGCTTTCCTCATAGTGAGTTGATGGCGAGACACAAAATTTATAATTTAGAGAGCAGACGCAAAATGAATTCACTTAAGTTCATTCACAAGCTCATCCATGGCATTATTGACTCCAGTGTCATCTTAGAACAACTTAACTTCTTAATTCCTAGATTAGCGTCACGAACTAGTTTAACTTTTTACTTAGCCAGGCCTAGGACTGACATACTTAAGTTTTCCCCTATATATATATATATAAAGGGTGACTTTGAAGTTGAGTCATTAATTTTCAAATAATGATTGTAGAAGGAAGATAAACCAAAATATGTGTGTAAAAATAAAAAAAAATTAAAAAATTTTTTTTACCTTGTTTTATAAAGTATCCTCCCGACAAGTATTTCAGTGCGGACCTGTATTTGATCGTGAGGTCTTGGAGCACCGGCATGCAGTCCCCTGTGAGGTCTTAAGTCACCCGATTCACGAGCCCGTTGTACTACATTAACAAAGGCACGAGGGGTTGGTTGCACTCGATTGGGAAACCGATCCGCATAAATATGTGCCATTTTTTATTTCGTTTGAGCCACGCAGCAATCACCACTATTCACTCACGCGTTACCGACTGACACAGACTGAATAAAAGCATCGTGATCAGCGTTTCAAATTCTTTCGCTTTTTTGTTTCCGATGCGATGAACCGATAAGGCGGAGTATATCCGTTGTCGCCAAACACGAGCACATAATATTATTATTGAGACAGGGCGGTACTCAAACTTCTAAAGGGCTATAACTTTGTTACTTTAATTTTACCAGAAAAATGTTAAAGGAAAAAACATTTCTTTTGATCAGATCTACTCACTGTTAAAATAAATGACTCATCTTCGAAGTCAGTTGTATATATATACAATGTGCCGTAATTATAATTCAGTTAATAGCGTTTTAGATATATTTTCGTTTTGTGCGACTTTGGGAGACATTAATGCTTATTTTCGTTAATGCTTGCTGGTGTGATTGTTGAGTGCTGGGTAGGTAAAGCTAGAACGCTTTTTTTCCTCCCAGTTCTGTTTTGAGGTTTTTTTTTGCAGCATTTTAGCTTTCTCTACATACATCCACAACATGCATTTGTTTATATTTTCATGTTTATCCATCCTGTAATTGGCTATGGCTGTTGGATGTTGCTAAATAAATAAATAAATAAATATATATTGATCTTCCGTTGAAATATATCACAGATATCACAAATAAGAATGACAGAAGGAACATTGTTGCATCACGAAGGTTGTATAGCAGTTTCATAAGTGTTCTTTGTTGTAAACAAATCACTGTGACAAATTACCGGTTATGCTACAGATGCGGAGATCTCAAGACCTGCACATGAGCATACCTAATTTTTTCCAGTATTACGCTTTTTTGTTTGAGCTTACGCGTTTTGTTTGCCGGTACCGTGCAAGAGCAGAGGCTTCTATCTATATGTGCGATTCAGCAATTAATACAATACTTTAAGTTATTATTCATCTTTCTCAAAACGGCACCAAAGCAGAATTCGAGGCCTATTAGCTATGTAGAGCTCTGAGTCGAAAAAACAAATTCACGATGTGTCATTACGATGTCAGACTTCAGGAATTCTTGTAGTTTCATTGTGTGCGTGCTATTTTAAAATATATTGCATATTTAGCATGTTTTTGTACAGTTATGGAAATTTTTAAAAAAGCGACCCACCGCTCTTCAAAAAGTTTTGAGGGAAAATCAACTTCCACATAAAGCTATCTCTTGCCGACGATCCACCCCCCCAGAGAAAAATTGGGGGGTGGGCGCCCCTGATCATACAAAGAAATGCTATAG